TCTGGAGATAAAATGAAAAAAAATTTTTTTTTTTACTTGTGGATAATCAACACCACCTAGGTACCAAGCCACGTGGAGGGCACATAGTTGGAGCGGCAGAACAAGCTCAGTTGAGGTCTTTCTTGTGGCCTTTACTCCCCAGCCGCCTGCTGCAGTGGGTTTCTACCTGGATCCACCAGGGAGAAAACAGGCTGAGATGCCGCTTGATTCGCCCAAGACCGAGCTTCCTTTGCGCCTTGACTTCCAAAGTCTCTTTATCTTTTCTCTGTGCCTTTTCAGTCCAGGCATCCAGTGCAGAGCCCACCTGACCCCTTCCAGGGGGTTCCACCCGCCCAGTGGAGCCCGGGCTGACCCCTAGCTGACAGTGACACAGCAATCACTTCAATGCAGCCCCAGGCCAGCTCCACCTCCCCACTTCCTCTAGGGATCCCAGCGCTTTAGAATGCAATCCTGTTTGCTTCCTCCTAGGGCTCGAGTCCTGCGGATTCTCCCAGTGAAGTGTGTCTTCCATTTCTGCTTTCTCTGTTCCCTGCCAATGACTCCCTGGCTTGGCCCTGGCTGCCTTCCATAAGGAATGCTGCTGTCCCTCACCCCCATATCTCCAAGCAGTTTTAGTTATGCAGCCCCCCACTGCCTATTGTTTCTCTGCCTCTGATAGTAGTCTACATTATCAACTCCAGCCAACTTTGCTTCCAAGACTTCCTCCCAATTCGTTCCATTTAAAACTTTTTTTTTTTTTGGTTTTGTTTTGTTTTTGCGGAACCGGGGACTGAACTCAGGCCCTTGAGCTTGCCAGGGAAGAGCTTATTCTACTGAGCCATCTCCCCTGCCCCAACCATCTCCCCGGCTCCTCCATTTAACTTCTTGAACGGGCTTCCCGTCCTACTGCCCAATCCAGATTAGAATCTCAATCTCTCTCCCTCCTCTGCCTTTTTCTTTTTCTTTTTGAGACAGGGTTTAGCTGTGCAGCTCAGGCTGGCCTAGAACTCACTGTGCAGCCCAGGCTGGTCTCGAACTCGCAATGATCCTCCTCCTACCTCAGCCTCCTGAATTCTGGGATTACAGGCGTGTGTGCCACCATGCCCGGCACCCACCGCCTCTTCAAGGCCACACCTGAAGCGGTCCTCTGATCATACTGCTCCCACGTTCCTCCTAGCTAGCCCGACTCCACACTCTGCAAGCATTTGTAAATGGCTACTGATTGCCACGCCTTCAGGCAGGGAGCTCGCTCAACCCGGCCACCTCGTGTCTCGGGTCCAGCCCGCGCAGGGGCGCGCGGGCGCTCGGCAGGCCTGCTCCGTCCAGCTCCCCTCGCGGGGCCCTCGCGGCCGCGTCCCTTGTTGGGAAAATGGCTTCCGGCCGACCGGGCACAGGCACACACAGATCCTTCTAGAAAAACCGGCTGTGTGAACAAAGTCCCGGGCTAGGGGAGGGCATCGGACCCTGGCCGACCGCCTGCGTCGAGAGAAGAAATGATACACAGACAAGAAGGAGTGGCGCTGAGGCGCTGCTGGCCGCTCGGCGAGGAGAAAGCGGCGGCCCGAACGCCCGGGCCGCGGAGTCCCCGCAGGCAGGGTCCTCTGTCGCCGAGCCCCGCACATCTAGGCGCAGCCAGCCGAGCTCGCGGCCCAACATGTCACCACATGTCCCCTTCTCTGCTTCCTCTCGGAGCCGCCTTTGCCCTTTCTACAACACAACTCTTTCTTCGCCCCCAAATTCCAGCGACAGCGCGGGGGCGAGGGAGCCGCGGCCGCGAGCAGGAGCCGCCTACCTCCTCGCAGCCTGGCCCCGCCCCCAAGCGCCCGGGCCGGGCGGAGCCTCAGCCTCAGCCCCGCCCGCTCGTCGGAGTTCGCCAGTTCAGGTTGACAGACTGAAGTTTTACCCAATAAGAAGGCAGACTCGTTCACGGTCGCCCTATTGGCTGCGAAATACAAAAATGCGCGCGCCTAATTGGCTGACACCACAACTCGGTCTTTCCGGGTAGTTCCACGCCTCACGCGTACTTCTGCAGCGCTGGGCCGGAGCAGGCGTCCGAGAGGACGCTGTGTCTGAGTAAGTTGGTACGCCGGTGGGGCCCTTTGGCGTCGGGTGAAGGGCTGCTGCTTTCCCTTTGCCGAGGTAGGGGGGAGTAGGGCGCCCGAGGAAAGGGCAGGGAGGGGCGCGCACGTGGAGCGCGGGCCTGAGGGGCGCGCGGGTGGCCGCCTGGGCCCGGGAGCCCCGGAGCGCCCAGGCCAGCCTGCCCTGCGGGCCCTGGGGGAGGGGACTCAGCGTCGCCGCTGCTATCAGACCCTACAGTGGGACCCGAGGGCGCTGGGGCCTGGCGGTGGCGGGACTGCAGGTCTGGGGGCGGTTTTGCGCGAGGAGGCTCAGATTGGGATCGAACCGCGCGCGGCGCGAGCTAGCGACAGACAGGGGCGAGGTGAGGCGGTCACCCGCCTGGGGGTGGGAGAGCCTCGCTGCCGGCGGCGGACGAGCAAACCCTGCTGTGCCCCGACCCGTCCCGCCGCGCAGCGCGAGAGCCGGGGCCAGCCTTTCCACCGAGCTCGGCCGGGGCTCCGCGGTCTCCCCGAAACCGCGACACGCCCCCCCCCCCGCCCGCGGGTATTGTCTTGTGAATGGAGCGGCCCGGCGGGGGGTGAGAAACGGTGGGGCAACTTCCCAGAGAAAGCACGATCCCACACCCCCCAACCTGATTTTAAATACCTGGAAATTAGTTGAGATGGTGTCCTGTGGGTTTGCAGGCCCAGAGGTCTGGCCAGCGGGGGAGAATCCCCGTTCCAGCACTCACTGACTTTCTGAGTATGTTAGGCCTCTTAGCCTCAGGTTCCTATCGTAAAATAGGGTTAAAATACCAGCTCAGGGTGGGAAATACGCACGTGCGGAGACACACACACAAACACAAACACACACGCAGGCACACCGTTTCAAGTATTTAGTGAATGAGGATTAACAGAAAAAAATTTTTTTTTCCTATTTCTCTCTACGCTGGACTGACTTTTGCGGGTGGAAACCTTAAATTGTGACCTTACAAACCAATGGTTTGCACATTTCAGTGCAGTAGACACCAGAATTATACTGAATTTCACTGCTACATATTTAGAATGTTTGCCTCTTTAAATATTATAATATGCTGCAGTAAACATTTGGAGATATAATTCACATACCATAAAATTAACGCATGCGCACACACTAACACACACACACGCACCCCTAGACCCAAGATTGAACCCAGAGCTATGGTGTAATCACTCAACTGTAATCCCGACCACCACTTCTTTTTATACCTAAAGCTTTGCTAAATTGTGAGACTGGGCTTGAACTGCGTTACTCCTGCCTCAGCCTCCCAGAGTGCTGGCCTTATAGGCATGTGCCATCACGCCTAGTTTACATTCACAATTTTAATTCACTATGTAGTTCAGTGCGCTTTTGAACTCACAGCCATTCTGCCTTGGCCTCCCAAGTGCTGGGATCACAAGCAAACGCTACCGCACCCAGTTGTGTGGAGTTTCTAGTGTGTTCACAGGATTGGGCAACCATCACTGGTACCTTATCTAATTCCAGAGGTTTTATCACTGCCCAAAAAAGCATGTGGTCCGGGGTGGGGGAGCTGAGTTGTTGGGCTGTAGCTTGGGGCCTCAGGGCTTCCTAAAAGGGGCTACCCTGATACGGGTGGAAGGAGCAGGACCAGTGCAGTGCACGTAGGCTGCCCGCTGCTTACCCGCCCCCAATAGGCTCACTCTGGGCTATGGATTGTGGGACACGCATAGGCCTGAAGGAGGAGGTGAAGGGACCCAGCTGGAGCAGCAGAGAGGCTGGTTAGCTGGGGGAAACAGCAGGACACCCAAATCAAGGAGTTAGCAAGCAGAAAACCGATGATTCCACTACTTTGAGAGAGTACTTTTAGGGAGACCGTATCTAAAAATAAAATGTGGGGCCGTGAAGATGGCTCAGTAGGATAAGCGCTTGACTGGCAAACGCAAGGATCTGAGTTCAATCCCTGGTTCCGCAAAAAAAAAAAAATAATAAAAATAAAAGTGCTGGGGATTTAGTACAGTACGAAGGCCCTGAATTCAATCCCAAGTAACATGCACAACACACACACACACACACACACACACACACAAAACAAAACAAAGGGGGGTGTTTATCTGGAATGGTGGTACATGCCTTGCATACCTGTAATCCCAGCACTGCAAATATAAGCCAGCCTGAGCAATTTAGAAACTTAGATCTTTCTCAAAATAAAAAAGGAATGAAAGCTACAGCTCAGTGCTCAGGCACTGGGTTCAGTCTGTGGTATGCGGGGAGAGGGGTGGATATAAAGGTTTAAAGCCGGGCCTGAGAAACTGCTCAGGAGTTTGCTGCACTTGTGGATAAACAGGTTGAAAAATTGGAAGCCAAAGTTGCTGAACCTCAGAAAGCCATTGGAAGCAAAGATGAAAGGTATGGCCTGCCAGCAAGGTGAACAGCTGGGGAGGGTATGCTTAGCAAGTACCTGATTCTAAAGTGGCCTGTGCCTGTGGTCCCAGCTACTGTGGAGGCTGAGCTGGGAGGATGGCTTTAGCCCAGGCGTTCTGGGTCAACCTGGCCAACACAGCAAGATCCTGTCTCAAAAGAAAAAACCCGTATGATGGATATGTGTTACAAGCAGAAACCAGATTACAGAGCCCAGCATTGCTGTTGGCACTCACACAAAAGAACTTATCCGCAGATTTTTTTTTTTTTTTTTTTTTGAGAGAGGGTTGTTTTGTTTTTATGAGACAGGCTCTGCTATGTAGTCCAGGCTGGCCCTGATCTTTCAGATCCTCCTCCTTCAGCCACCTGAGTGGTGGAATTGTATGTGTATGCCACCATGCCTGTCTTGTATCCAGTTTCCCAAGGCAGAAAATAAAAGATGTAAAGACTGTTCAGAGTTCATCATTATTAAGATATATACAGTATACACTCTTACTTACCAAAATACATGTTCCTGCCTGCCCAGATATACAAAAGATGATGAGGAAGAAGTTTGAAGTACTCTCAGGTATTAACCTTGTTTAGTTATTATAAGAATACATTCATATTTGCCTTTTTGGAAATAACAGCCAAGTGTGTATTCTAGAATAAGGCAGGTATGCATCCACCCATCACCTAAGGATTAATAAGTAGATGATGATGAGTTGAGTATGCAGAAGAAAGTGAGGTCTCTTTATTTGATCTTTTATTTGTTTGGTATAGGGTCTTGCTAGGCAGCTTGGACTCATAGTGATCCTCCCCTCTCAGTCTCCTTAGCACTGGGATTACAGGCATGCACCATCATGCCTGGTTTCAGTGCTCAACACGATGCACCTGGGCTGGCACGGCATGCGGTTCAGGGATCAAACTGGTCCTTTAGCTTTCCAGGCAAGGCACTCAGACCACCAAGCTATCTCCACAGCCCTGAAAGTGAGGCTTAAATACATCCCCCATGGGGCTGGTGAGATGGCTCAGTGGTCTAAAGCACCTACTTAGAACAAGCTTAGCAATGCCCAGGGACCGCGGTTCAATCCCCCAGCACCACATGCCAGTCAGCCCCTCCCCCTGGTGGGCTGAGCTGGCCACACACACACACGCACACAAATAAATAAAAAATTAAAAAAAAAAATTAAATACGTCCCCCTTCTATTTTATTTTATTTTATTTATGTGTGTGTGTGTGGCCAGCTCAGCCCACCAGGGGGCGAGGCTGGCTGGCATGTGGTGCTGGGGGATTGAACCGCTGTCCCTCTGCTTTGCTAAGCTGGTTCTAAGTAGGTGTTTAGACCACTGAGCCATCTCACCAGCCCCCATCCCCCTTCTTTTTAATCTTAAAATGAGCTAACCAAGGTCTACTGAATTATGACCTTAGGTGCTGGCTTGCTGAGTTTAACCTTAAAATGAATTGCTGCCAAAATAAAAAAGGAAGGAAATTTATGCTGACTGAAAATAAGAGCTTTTCAAATGAATATTATATTATTTGATTATTTTAGCATCTTTGTGTGTGTGTGTGTGTGTGTGTGTGTGTGTTTTGTATTTAGTACAGGGTCTACAGGGTCTCACTAAGTAGGTCAGACTTCATAGTGACCCACCATGTTCAGCCTCTCAAGAGCTGGGATTACAGATGTGCACCACCACACCCAATCTCAATGGCTGTCTCAGTATACATCACGGGCGGCCCCACAAGGACAGGCCAGGGATCAGGTCCTGCATCTGCCTAAGCTGAGCTATTTGGTTTTGTTGTTGTTTGTTTGTTTCTTTTTGTATTTTTAGGGAAGGATCTACAGGTTTTTCAGCGTCTCACTACTAGATCAGACTCGCAATCCACCAGTTTACAGCCTCCCAAGAGCTGAGATTATAGGCACACACCACCATACCCAGTCTCAATCCATCTCAGGGTGCCCTGGTGCCCCAGAGGCAGGACCAGCATGGTGGGATGGAACCCCAGACCCCTGCGCCTGCTTGCAGGTGATTTAATCTGCTGAGCTATTTGGCTGGCCCCCCACCGAGCTAGGTTGCCCCAATGTGTGGTCTTTTTTGTAATTTTTTTTTTTTGAGATTGTGAGTTTCAGAGTATTTAGTATTTAGTAGTTTAATCTAAGTGTCAGTGCTGTAATAAAGAAATAGGGGCTGGTGAGATGGCTCAGTGGTCTAAAGCTCCTACTTAGAACAAACTTCCCAAAGCACAGGGACCGTGGTTCAATCCCCCAGCACCACATGCCAGCCAGCCCGCCCCCTGGTGGGCTGAGCTGGCCACACACACACACACACACATAGACACATAAATAAATAAAATTTAAAAAAAAAAAGAAATTATAAAAGCCTAAATATCTAACAACTATAGTTTATCATCCTTTATGTTGATTCCAGAAAAAGATTATCTATTGTTCTAATTAAACACAAACTCTGTTCCATAAACCCTTAATTAATGAAACCAGTTTCCTTTTTCTTTGATTGAAATAGAACATTTCATATCTGATCTCTGAGCCAGGCTTGGTGGCATACACCTGTAATCCTACCACTTGAGAAGTTGAGGCAAGAGGATCAGACTGACTTAGATACTACCCTAGGATACTTACTGAGTTCAAGGCCAGCCTGAACTACAAAAAAGAAAGGTCTGATGTGTAAGTTTATCTTTCAACAAGAGTATGAACACACACACACACACACACACACACACACACACACGGAGGGACCCAGGATAGAGCTCAGCAGTATAGTGCCTGCCTGAGTTCAAGTCTCGGTACCCCACCCCCGGAAAAAAAAAAAAAAAGCCTTAAATGAAAGTCACATTTGGGCCAGGGACGGCTCAGTAGAATAAGCACTTGCCTGACAAGCGCAAAGGCCTGAATTCAATCCCTGGTTCCGCAAAAAAAAGTCACATTCAAGCAGAGTCTGGTTTTAACTACTTACCAGTCCAGTTATTTAAATACAGGAAGACCAAATCTCACATACTTTTTCATTAATTTTTATAACAAGAAATACAGAAGACAATTTTCTCAGATGTATTCAGTATAAGACCACCTGGTTGGGCTGGCATGGTGATACATTCCTATCGTCCCAGCACCCAAGAGGCAGAGGCAGGAGACCGCCTTGAGTCTCAGGCCAGCCGAGGCTGTATAGTGAACTGAAGGCTAGCCTGGACTGCAGAATAAGACTCTGTCTATTTATTTATTTATTTATTTATTTATTTAGTGGTACCAGGGATTGAACTCAGGGCCTTGCACTTGCCAGGGAAGCACTTATTCCACTGAGCCATCTCCCCGGCCTCTTGTGAAGTTTTTGTTTGGTTTTGATACAAGGTTACTATTGGCCTCATAAGGTTGGAAAGTTGTAGTAAATATATTCTATATAATATTTTTTCTTTTTTAGTAATAGGACCTCACTGTGTTGTGCAGCCTACCTTTATTAAGTTGCCAAGGCTGGCCGCAAACTTGTGATCTCCCTTGTCCCCCCAAGTAGCTGGGACTCTCAGTGTGTACCACCACACCCGTGGAGGATAATTCTTTACTGATGGTGTCTTAGGCGTAGGATAGTTGGCAGTATCTGTGGCTTTTACCCTCTAGATACCAGTAGCAACCTGTCTCTGTCCCTGCACCCTCTTGCCCAAGTGGGGACAGACAGAATGTGCCCCAGTAAACAGAACTGCTCAGTTAGGGATTTCTGACCAGCCATCCACGCATGGGGGCCCATGCCTGGCCCGCCACTCAGGAGGTAGTGCTCTCCGTGCTGCAGTCCTCACCACTGGGACCTGCTGACCTCTCCAGCCTCTTCCAAAATCCTTGGTGCTGTACTTTAGACTTTGCCTGCTGCAGGCCCCTCAGCCCCTGTCCCCGCTGCCTACCATCATTTTAGACTGTCCTGCACCCATCCCACCTGCCCTGCCCTGTCCATATGAGGCAGTCACTCCTTTCTCTCCCACTGCATCTGGGGACACGTGGGTCTTGACCTCATCCTTGTTGACAGTGAGTGCCATGAGTCTGCAGGTCACAACTTACGGATTTCTACCCTGCCCAAGTGCCGAGCCCAAAGCCCGATGTGGAGTGGCTGCTCTGCACATGCGTGTTGACTTAAGGTACCCGGAGCTGAAGGAAGCTACTAGGTAGCTATAGGGTCTTTTGTTTTTGTTTTAATTTACTCAGTGCCAACTAGGTCATGGGTGCTGATAATAGAAAAAGGAGATGAGATGGGAGTTTCAACAAGTTTAATATAAAGAGATAGGGGCAAGCATAAACTGTGTGTCCAGTAGCTACAGAGAATGAACTGCATTTGCATTTGGGGACAATGCAGTCCTTACCCTTCAGTAGACTTCTTTTGTTTGATTTTGGTTTTGGTTTTTTGGTACAGGGTCTTGCAGTGTAGCCCAGATTGGCTCTGAACTCACTTTGTAGCCCAGGCTAGTCTTGAACCTGTGATGATCCTCGTGCCTCAGCTTCTCAACCACTGGGGTTACAGGCACTATGTGTGGTATCCCGGTCATGCAGCCCCTCACTAAGGCTAACGGTGTAGGGAGACATGGTCTTGCTTCCTGATGGATGAACCAGAGGCTTGGACTATCAGGATGTGTGTTCTTCCCTGTACTCCCAGATCAGCAGGAAGAGACTAGTTGTACACTAAGGCAGAGTTGCTTTCTATGGAATTGGTAATAATAATAATAAAATTGATGTTAGTGTGGCTTAGTTTTTCCTAACTCTTACCATACATGCTTCTCCTGTTCACTGTGCCTTTTAGCTTGAAGCTTAACTGCAATTACAAAATCGTTGATCTACAATGAATGCCATACAGTGTTTGGGGACCATTCTTTAGACAAATGAATACAGTGACTATACTTTCAGATTAGAGAAGGCCATGATATTTATAGAGAAGGGAAGCATCTATTGGCAAAAGAGCAGATGTGGTCTGGAAAGAGACCATGGAGTCTTTTCATTCTTTTGGTGCGTGAGGGAGAACTGGGGCCTTACATAGGCCGAGCACAGGCTCTTTCCCACTGGGTTACACCTCAGCCCCTGGGCTCACTTCTGAACCTGACTCTGCTACAACTGGAAGCAGACAGGAGGTGCCTGGTACCTAGTAAGGAACTGAAGAGCAGCCTGTAGTTGTGCCCTGGGAGAGGCTAGATGAGAAAAGAGGAGGCTCTGAGGCAACACAGGGCTGAGTGGCCCAGGAGAACCCAGGAAAGGGTGAGTCTGACAGGAGGAAGACTGAGAGAGGCTGCTGCAGTGACACAGGGCAGAGCTGCTCCCTGGTGTATGTTGCAGGACTAAGGGCTAGAGAGAGCGCTCCAGCTTTGCAAGGAGGCGATGGTGGTTAGTAGTACCTCAGCGAAACCTTTTAGCAGAACAGGAGGAGGGACTGCCTGACTCCATTGAGAAATGGAGACAGTGAACTTGGACATAGACAGCATTCTTTCAGAACAAATAAGAAGTCCTGAGCATGTGTATAAGGAGTGGGAGGCACTGAACATACATGAGAACAGATGGGTACCAAATCCTTGGGGAGGTAAGAGGTCAACAGCTGCATGGGGTGTGTGTGCCTGAAAAGGTCCTGGAGCATAGCTGTTTCTCCAGCACAAAGGAGGACAGAATGTGTATAGGCAGGTGCTTGTGGAGTAGACAGCAGAGAGCCTAGCGGTGGTGGCGAACCTGTGGCAGGCGTAGGCATAGGATAACAGCTGTCTGTTATCGTTGAAAGCTCCAAAGGTTCACCGCTGCTGTGCCAGGTGTTCGTGCCAGTCACTTCTTCCGGAGAGAGAGCTGTGCTGTCCCCGCATCCCCTGTGTTGGGAAGGAAATGGGAAGGTGCTGGAAGAGCTCTCTATAGGGAAGGCTCGGATACCAGAAAGCAAGGGAGAGAACACACACATAGGATGTATGTGACATTCTCTTTTCTCTTTTAGGAACAGAAATGAATAAAAGCAGCAGGCAGAGTAGGAAAAAATACAGGAGAAGAAGCCACCCACAGAGCGCTCGGTTCAGACAGCGCAGTTCCTGTGAGAGGCAAGTGTGCCAGGGCTGGGGAGCCGGCCCTGCCCAATGCCACAGTACATTTTGTACTCAGTGTGCCTCACTGTGTAACCCAAGCTGGCCTCAAACTCACGGCAGTCCTCCTGCCTCTGCCTTGAGTGCTGGGATTACAGGTGTGCACCACCACGCCCAACAAAACAGACACAGTTCTTAGTTATAGGGCCATACGATGTCAAGTATCGAGGTGCTTCTTCAGAAGAAATTAGCCCGGACAGTTATGGAAGCATCAGGAGTTCTAGAAGAAACAAGGGCTTTAGAACCGGGTGCTCTGCTTTCTGTTGTGCACCTGGGCCACACACCTCACCACTCGGTGTCACTGTCTCCTTTATGAACAGGGCTAATAACCTCTTTCAAGGAGATATATACAAAGCCCTAGAAGCTACCTGGCTCCAAGTAGCACGTGGTAGGTCTCGCTGAGTAGAAATCCTCCAGTTTGACTAATGTTACATAAAGGTTAGGACTGTGCCCAAAGTCCTATAAGGAGACCGTGGATGCTTTTTGGGCTCTGGGCCTTGCCCAGGAGAGCCCTGTGTCACAAGTGGGCAGGAGTCCCCGCACAGCATCGGCAGGTGGCTTAGAAACCTCCTGAGCACGTGCACCTTGCGAGCTCCTCTGTGTGGAAAGAATGGAGCAGCAAGCAGCCTTTGGATGAAAAACACACTGTCACGGCTCCTGGTCCTTCCTATTCCTGCTGATCCCAGAGGAGCTGTCTCATGAAGCTCTGGCCAGGCAAAGGGGAGTAAATAGCTTTCCCTGAAACTCTGCATCGTGTTCATGTTTGTGGAAGAAAGAATGTTTTCTTATTCGCTTACCCTAGCTTTATAACTCAGATTCCTTTATTTATTTATTTATTTATTTATTTATTTATTTATTTATTTTTGGCGGAACCGGGGATTGAACTCAGGCCCTTGCACTTGCCAGGGAAGCGCTTATTCCACTGAGCCATCTCCCCGGCCCCTCAGATTCCTTTTAGTGTATGTGTGCAGGGCAGAGTCATGATTTCAGGCCAGGTGTGGTGGTGCGTGTAGTCCCAGCACTTGGGAGATGAGGCAGGAGGATCGCTTTGAGTATGAGGCCAGCCTGGGCTACATAGTGAGACCCAGTCGAAAGAAAGGGAAAGAATGAATTATTTTAAAGTGAATTTTATCAGGATTCTCAATAAAGATCTTTTGTACTATCACTGTATCCTTCAGACTGGTGTTACCACTTGTGGTTTACCAGTCCAGTGTTTGAGCCATGGCCCTGTCACTGCTCAGATGGCTGTGCCTCTGTTCCCTGAACCCCAGTTTCTCCACCTTGAGGTCAGCCTGCCAAGTGTGATTTAAACTCTTCTACTACTGAGTCCAGTAAAGAATGAAATTCACCTGGCCTTGTAACTGCTGTTGAGCTGGCAGATGAGCCAGGCTGGTAAAATTCTTATTGGCAAAAATTTCTGTTCTGCTTTTCATCTGAAAGATTCCAGAAGACCTCACAAAAGGCTCAAAGAGGAAATTACTGTGACATGTATCCTCTGAAAAAGACAGACAGACCAAACCCTCCCTTTGGTATATTTATAATAAGGGGTCAGTTCTCCTGGTGCTGCAGAATCGCTTGGGGAGGATCCCCTGGTCCTAACGGTTGGGAGCTGATGCCCTGTGCTGCCAGTCCTCACAGCCATGTGTCCTCAGGTGTATGACAGGGGCACGGCAGAGTGCACAGGAGTCGGACCTCAGTGATGAGGAGTGCCCATCGACCTCATCCAACACCCCTGGGGAGCCTTCTGCACCAGGTGAGGCGGCTGCTAGGGAGGGCTTCCCTGGCCTGGCAGCTGGGGTGGATGAAGCTGCCCAGGCAAGGCTCAGAGATTGTCTGTGAAGCCCTGAGGGGAGGAGCTGCGGTGTCAGGAGCAAGGCTTCAGGGCAGACGGTCTGCCCCATGACTGAACTCAGTCCAGGATAGAGACTGACTGTGCCAGGCTCTGCGGGCCCTCAGAACAGATGGGCAGCTGGCTCCTAAGTGGGGTAGTTACAGTATTTTAAGTTGCTGAATTTAATGTCTGTTCATTAAAGATCTACCAGGGTATTACTTCGACCCTGAAAAGAACCGCTACTTCCGCTTGCTACCTGGACATAACAACTGCAACCCCCTCACCAAAGAAAGCATCAGGCAAAAGGAAATGGAGAGCAAACGACTACAGCTGCTAGAAGAAGAGGAAAAGAAGAAAAAGGTGGGCTCTATACCCTCCAAGAGCCACCCTCCCCTCCTCTCCTGCCAGCATCCACCTGCCAGTTAGACACCTGTGACACTTACCACAGATACTGGAGAAGTTGGGCCTGACCCTCAGCCCACCCCTCATTCCTTTTTTTTTTTTTTTATTGTGTGTGTGTGTGTGTGTGTGTGTGTGTGTGTGGCCAGCTCAACCCACCAGGGGGCGGGGCTGGCTGGCATGTGGTGCTGGGGGATCGAACCGTGGTCCCTGTGCTTTGCCAAGCTTGTTCCAAGTAGGTGCTTTAGGCCACTGAGCCATCTCGCCAGCCCCCCACCCCTCATTCCTGAGTGAGAATAAGAACAACCAGAGACTCTGGGCCCATCCCCACCCACCTCCTCTGGCTCCTGAGTATCACCAGTAGTTCTAGAAGACTGTGCTGCCCTGGGGGCAGCTTGGAAAGCAGCACTGGGAAGTTGAGGCACTGTATCACACATAGGAAAGTAGGACATTGGCCTGGGGGCAGTCCTGCAGACAGATTTCCTTGCCAGGATGTCTGGGATGTTTTGTTGGTTATAGGACAGCAGGAGGGAAATCCAGGCTTTTGTCACCCTGCAGAATGGAGGCTGCGTGCATTCCAGACCTGGAGTCCAGTCTAGCTCCGGCTCTCACTGGCTCCCTCGCTAGCTGGCGTGGTGGCTTCCTCCTGGCTGCAAAGGGCCGGGACAGAAGTTTGTGCAGATTCTGGCCCACACCTGCCTTCTGGAGCAGGGCTTTCCCTGCTGCCAGGGAGGTGAGGCAACTGTGATTCTGGTACAGTTCTCTAACTTGCAGAAGTCAGATTTTTATGCATCTAATTTCCCGTGTAGCACCTGTCTCCGTTGTATCTTATGAAGCTAAAATATTTCTGTTATCTGATAACACAAATGAATCTTCATCAAGTCTTTCTGTCTTTAATATAGAGAGCAGCCAGAATGGGATTTAATACATCTTCCTTCCTACGAAAAAGCCAGCTGGGTCTGCTCAGCGTCTCCAGTTACTGCCGGTAAGTCAGGACCTTGATGTTGTACTCTCTTCCTGGACATTCCTTCTTCCCTATTTCCTCCTTTTCCTGTTTTTGTTTTGCGGCATGAGTGATTGAACCCAGGGTGTCCCACATGCTGAGGAGGCGCCCTGCCCTTGACCTGTACCCCAGCCCTGTGTTTTTTGAGATGTCACTACATACCCAGGCTGGCCTCAAATGTGTTTTTTGTATCAGATTTTATTGGTACATTTTAGATACATGTAATGATCACATTCATCATAGAGAATTTGTACCTTTCTACAGTATAACTTGATTCTTTGTCTTTTCCCATTTCCTTCCCCTCCCCTCCCATGAACCCCTCCTCCACTCCCCGTTTACAAAAGCTAGTGATTTTGCCCTCCAACTTGGGATCCTCCTGCCTCAGCCTCCTAAGGACCTGGATGGCAGGCAAGTCCCACCACCTGGCGCTCTTCCCCGTTTCCTATTTCTGTAATCCAGAGGTGCAGTCAGGACGTCCAGGGCTATGCTGGAAAAGTCCATGCAGATGGGGGCCTGGTGCGGCCCACTGCCACGCCAAGGCTCATCCTCAGTGTGGAGGGAAGAGAGAGGACTCGGGCAGAGGCTGTGCATGCTGAGCTAGTAGCAGCTTCATTCCTTGAGATTTCTACCATCTTTTTCTCATAACAGTGAATTGTCACCAGAAACAGGCCATTTAATGGATACGCATGTATTAAACGTATCAAAATGCTTGTGATGCTTGATAGAATTCTAACTAAAACTGAGATGGGTGATACTTCCTCAAAGAAGAGTGCAAGGCACATGGTGGAGCAGTCTGAGCTCCATCCCCGCCCCCTCTGCCCCCCGCGCGTCTGCCGTAGCCTCCTGGGTCTCAGTCATTGCACCTAGGAGCAGCGCCCCTTTGGGGAGCCCAGCCACACAAGGGCTTCGGCGAGGTAGGTGCTCTGTGTCTCCACTTCCAAGGAGACAGGTCCTGGGACGAGTGTCCCTGCCGTGGAAGCAGGCGGTGAGGCGGGAGTCTGCACACTGGTGTGCTTCTCGTTTGCCCTGTGTCCCTCAGCACGGTCATTCCTCAGGGACACTGGCTTCACCCCAAGGGAAGCACTGCAGCAGGCCGTCTGGGCACACATCCTTTTGCCTCCACATTCTTTGAGCCTGGGAAGGGCTGTGCAGTACATTTAGTTTTCCTGAGCGGTGTATGCAAAAACGGGAATTCAGTGTTTGGGGGATCTCTCAGCCTCGCTGTTGGGTGGTCCGCAGAGGGGCACTTCAGCCTGGTTTTGTGTTTTGTTTGACTCAGACGTGCTCTGCAGACCAGCCTGCTCTGTAACTCGTGTGCTCAGTTTTTTGTCTCGGCGCCCCCCAAGCAGCTCAGGCTGAGGTGCTCAGCCCCACATGTGGCTTCTGAGGCTTGGGCATGGTGTCCTGCCCTGAATCCATCCCTCCATGTCTCTTCCATCTTCAGCTTAGCCCACGAGCTGCAGGTGAGCTGCATGGAGAGGAAGAAGGTTGAGATTCAGAGCGCCGATGCCTCCACTCCGCCGAGCGACCCCTTCAGCCTCATCCTGGTGAGTCTCAGGGCCTTTTCTGGGCCCTGATGCCTCACGCTTGGCCATCAAGCTGGCTGTGTAGGGGCCGGGGAGATGGCTCAGTAGAATAAGCGCTTCCCTGGCAAGCGCAAGGGCCTGAGTTCAATCCCCAGTTACGCCAAAAAAAAAAGCTGGCTGTGTAGAAGCCAACAGTGTGAAAGCAGGCAGCATCCTCTGGGTTTATAGTGCTGGCCACCCACAGGCAGGAGGCAGCCAGTGGGCTGTGCTGTGCCATTGTCATTCACCCTCCAGCCCAGGCCTTTGATGGAGATCCTGGGCCCACCTACATGCTGGCTAAGAACCCTTACAGAACAACTCCTCCTTGGTTGGACTGTGTGCTGCTGGAGAGGGGTACCAGATTGCCCTGACCTGGGGTTCTGTCCCCTCCTTCCCATAGGTAGGGCTTAGTACTTAATCTGAAGTTCTTGCCACAGGCTCTGGCTCCCTTCGTTGCTATCCCTGGCAGGGGCCTGCAGGCCTGAGCCCCTGCACATTGGCATCTCTCTATCAGAGGACTGGAAGGTTTCCTCTGCTTTTAATTAGACCTGAACTAGAAGCTGGGGCCAGGGAAATGGTGCCTGCAGAGACCTCATGGTCCTTTGTAAGTGAAGGAACCTCCTCTCTGCAAGGCCCAGGAGAGAGAGGAGAGACAGCACTCTGTCTCGGCAGGCCTTGAAGCTGAGCCTTAGACTAGAGGTTGACCCTGAGTCCTCTTGCCCTCGGGGAGCTGGACAGCAGAGCCTTTCCAAGTAAAGGTGTTAGGGCCAGGCCCGGCTTTTCTGCTCAGGCCTTGCCCTTGTGTCTGAGTCATGCCTGAATTAGTAGATTGTGCTCGAAGCAGGCTCCCCATGCTGGGTCAAGCTGGAGGGGCTGGCACTGCACACAGCCTTTTCCAAGCTTGAACTCCCCTGTCCTGCCCTCCTCACGCACTGCTGCTGCAGTAGCTCTGTCCCAGCACACTGGTCATAGAGGGCTCTGGTGGCTGCTGTGACCAAGAGCTGGAATAGTAATTCTCCACTATAGAGCAGCTTTTCAGATCAGGTCCTGGTCACTGCCAATGATTCCTCCAAGAACATAATTTTTCTCCCCATGTGGAATTGCAGAAGCTGTGCAGGCTCACTGGCACCCAGACCCGGTGAGTGTGGAGCAGGACGGACAGACAAAGCCATGAGTCCAGGGGAACTTGTTTTGCTTTCAGTTATTAATTATTACATTTCTAAATAAAAAAGGGGGAGAAAAAGGAAATTTAAAAATAGCCCACATCCTAGTGCAAACTTCTGCTGTATTTTTGTTTAGTGTGATGTACCCTTTTCCTTTCACGTGCACGTTTCGTCTCTCTCTTCTTTTGGTTGGTGACATACATCAAATCCGAGGCCTCACAGCTGCTAAGTCCACGCTATGCTGCAGAGCGACCCCCGCAGTCCTGCTGTGCTTGTCGTCTTGTTGGGAATCATTGTTGTAATGGGAGTACAGCTTGGAGTGCTGCTCGGCCTGAGAACAGTTATAACGAGCACCTTCCATGTCACTGTGGTTTTTACAATGGCTGTATGCTGTGTTTTATGGGCCAGTATTGGCCTTCTAACCCAGCTCTAGCAGAGTAGGGGATGCCCACTGACCTCAGTCTTAATGGCCACATGCGCCCTACCTCCACCCTCCTGATCCCACTCCCTGCTCCTGAGGTAGTAAATCACCCCCAGGAGCATCACAGGAAAGGAGTGAGAGAGACTTAGCTTATCGTCGGGCACCTGTGGAGAGGAACTGTCAGGGAAAAGATGTGTGGGGACATGGCCCACCTGGCTCGGCCTGGGAATCACCTGCACCCCTCCCTGCAGGTGGATACCAATAGCGACCGGCTCTTCACAGTCAATGACGTGGATGTTGGAGGCTCAAAGTACGGCATCATCAGCCTGAGTGGCCTACAGACTCCCGCCCTTACGGTGCGCATGCACAAGAATTTCTACTTCACCAACCGCAAGGTGCGTCTTCTGGGGCACAGTACAAGTTGGCCTTCACTTGGTGAAAAAGGCAGGGCACAGTTTCTTCATTTCTGAAGAGCAAGTAGAATATGGCTTCTCGGACTCTGGGGGAGAGAAAGGAGCCTAGGAGCATCCTTGGTGGGAGAGGAGGTTGACTCAGATGGGGGCTCGGGCGCACTGCATTCCTGGTCCTGAGAACATCCCTCGAGAAAGGCAGTTTTCCAGGATGTGGGCCATAGCAACTGCACCTGAATACAGGAGTCCTCCTGGGTATGTCAAGTGAGTAGTACATCAGCAGCAGGCCAGTCTGGCTGCCTCGAGGTGCTTGCTCTCCACAGCCATCTTTAACTGCAGTGGCAGTTGTAAGACGCTGTGACTTTCTGGTTAGAACATGAGAGCAACAAGATCAATACAGTTGAAATGGCTTGTGAGGAAAGGAAGATACAGCACAGCTATGTGGCTAGGTTTGTCCCCTGCGATGGTGGAGAACTGAGCCCCAGCTGGTGGCTGTGGTGCTTCCTCCTGCAGGATGTGCCTGGTGCAGAAGGGTGAGTTCTGGACTTTGCTTCCTGCTGGCCCCATTGAGGCCTCATAGTGCAGGGCAGGAAGCTCTCCTGTCCTTTGAAATAGTGTAGCCCACTTAGTGAGCTGGGCATGGTGGTGTACACCTGTAATCCCAGCACTGAGCCTGAGAGAGGCTGAGGCAGGAAAATTGCTATGAGTTCAAGGCCAGCCTGGGCTACAAGGTAAGTTTAAAGCTAGCCTGGACTACATAGCAAAACCTTGTCTCAAAAAAATAAAAATAACAACCAAAAGGAGTGAGACATATAGAAGTAATTCCTATGTCCATGTCCCCATAAGTAACTGAGAACTTGGCCATTTTTCTCCATGAGCTGGCAGTCAAACCAATGCTGCCATCTTGCCATGTGCTTCTTTACCAGGTGAACTCTGTGTGCTGGGCCTCACTGAATCACTTGGATTCCCACGTTCTGTATCCTTTGGTGTGGACCTGGGCTCTGTGGGCTTTGTAAAACAGCATCTTAGTGACTGGGGGCTGAGCCGTCATGAAATCAGGTCTCAGCCTTTAGAAGAAAACTGTGCCCCTGGGCAGACAGCAGAGATTTCTGTGAAGCATAGAGCAGCAGGTGAGGTTCCGTGATGACTCTCCTTGTGGGCGACTTTCATGTCCCTGTGTGCCAGACATTGTTCTGGAACACTGAAGGTAAGTAGAGGAGGTAGGATCAGAACTAAGGCTGGGGGCCAGGGAGATGGCTCAGTGGAATAACTTAGTTGCCTGGCAAGCACAGGGACCTGAGTTCAATCCCCGGTTCCACCAAAAAAAAAAAAAAAAAAAAAAAACAAAAAAAAAAAAAAAAAAAAACCAAAAAAAACTAAGGCTGTCTGGCTCTAGAGCCTCCCACTCTACCACTGTAATCTGGGGCTTCAGGCCCTAAGACAGACCCAGTGTGAGGGAAGTTTCCTTGGTGTCATACAGGCTGTGGGCCCAGCGCCTTAGGGACAGGTACTTTACCTCTAGTCATTGCCTTCCCAGAGAGCCAACTGGGCGCTTTGCTGGGAACACAGTGTGTAGGCTGCCGCGGGCCCAGCCTCCCTCTGGGACCTTTGCGCTCCTGATGCTGCAGAGGACTTACTGGCCCAAAACCACAGCACGATACTTGTCCTAGTTCAGGCCCAGAACAGAGGAGCTCTGGGACCTGTGTTTCTGCTGCAGGGAACACCTGTTTCCTCAGCTGTCATGAGATGAGTGTTCATTAATGTGCAGTGTACCACGGTTTCTGCACATCATTGGGCCTCAAGACAAATCAACCTTTATTTGCTTCATAGGACATTTCAGAGGTTCTAAACCACAGGTCCATTAATGATCTGATTATAATTTTTATGTGAGACACAAAACTGCATTCTGTAGATCCTTGTACATGGCTGTTGTCTGAGGGGCCTCTGGTGAGTGAGAGGACCACCTGTTACTGCACTGATGTCACAGGAATAAGAGACCACATTTTACAGAGCGGAAACAACTGTGCTCTCCCTTCTGACCATAAAGCACTGTTTGCTCATGATTCTCTAGGGCCAGGGCTGGATAAAACCCATGTGATTTTAAAGTGGTCTGTCCTGGCTGATGGCTTGCTACCTGGTGGTTATTCCAGGTCCATTTCAGGTTTTTGCACTTCCACCAGAATTCTCTTACGGAGAGGGTACAATGTTCAGAGCTGCATCCTGTTCAGACCCGCACTGTGCATTCCCACCAAGAGTGGTGTGAGGTCAGAATTTTTTCTGCTGAACTGGACTCTTAGTTAACTGTGCCCTGCTAAAGGAGTAATCCACGGGCCTGCCCCCGTAAGTACCATACAGGCTTTGAGTATGGCCTATGTTTCAGCTGAAGTAACTAAAAGTGCACATGGATAAAGGTCTTTTCCCTTGCCCTCACCCTCCAAATGCAGAAGTAGGTTTATTTAGGAAGCAACTGAGCTGTCCAGCATCTGTTGTGAGCAGTTCTGTAGACTAGAGATACTATTTAACGTGGAGCTTACTGCCAGACACATTACACAGCAGAGGGCTGCATGCTCGCTTGGGTGCCTATTAATGTTTTCCAATGGGTCACTCAGCCAGGGTCTGTTGGGCAGATGCAGTCCCTCTGCAAGTGGCTGGCATCAGGCAGCTCCACAGTAGTCTGTAAGGGCATTGGGCTGCCACGGGCATACAAGAGTTGTCTTTGTGGATGCCTGCAGGGGAGGATGGGGCCAGGAGCTCCCAGCACAAGGTTGAGTCAGGACACGGGAGTGTATTCGGGGGCCTCTTGATGTCCCACAATGCCTGCAACTTGATAGGGTCTACCTGTGGGCTGGTAGAAATGGGACCGTGTGGCCGCAGCAGGACTGCAGTGGACAGAGGCGAGCTAGGAGACCGGGGCTTGGGAAGTTGGAGCAGGTGTTTGGTGTGTGCACTTGCACGTTGTAAAAGCATAAACTACTTTAGGTCATCGTATGTGTGCAAGTATTACAACAGGCCTTAGGAAAACTCACCACGCTGAGAATAGTCTTGTCTGGTTGGGGAAGGGGTGACTTGGACTGAGGAGGTATTCAAGAGCACTTTTAAGTGTATCCAGGATACCTTTGTTCCTTTAAAAAATTCTGAGGCTAAATAGGAAAATGAAGTCAAGGCAGAATGGATGATTGGTGGTGTTCACTGGCCCCCGACTCCTTAACAGCTTTTTCCAGGCTGTGCCTCTTGGGATTTGCAGACACGCCAGGCTGTGCCACTCTGATCCCAGCATCCCTCTTCACCAGTAATCACCCAGGTACAGGGTCCTTTGCCTCAGAAGAAACCAGAGCCTGGAGCAGGTTTCTGTCCTCTGCTTTCCGGGAACTACAAGCGGGCTCAGAGGAGTGTGGGGACCAGGGGCCGGGTGGTCCTGGATGGGGCCACACTGGAAACACTTGGCCTGTGCTGTAGTTGGTACCAGGCGGAACGCAACTCTGGTAGTGTCCCTGGCCTGCCCCCCTTGTGGGTCACATCAACAGCCAGAACAGCATTAAAGTGTGTGTGGAGCTGTGTGAGACCTCAGAACACTGGCTGGGCCGCCTGTGTGACCACTCCCAAGGCACGTGAGCACCCGCGCCCTGCACGTGGCGGGCACTCCTGGAGATCTTCATAGCCTGTCGTGAAGTCCATCTGCCTGTTCCTTCCTGGCAGCCTTTTGTGGACTTGGGATCTAAGACGGGCCAGCTCTGAGCACGCAAGCTCTGGGAGACACGGCACAAACACCAACACCACCCCTTCCCCTCCTGAATAGATGGTCAGACCTCCGCCTGCTGAGGACTGTGGCACCCCATCGGGGTCCGTGCAGAGTCCAATGAAGTCATGCGCATTCAGCGCGCTGCCTGGCATTTCATGGGACCACAAGCTCAAGGCAGAATTGTGTCTTTACCCTGTTTACAGAAGAAAGATAAAGAGGGCCAGAATTTGCCTCACAAAATTCATTTTTAGTGTTAAGACCCAAGATGCAGAAAAGCTTAGGTTAGCAGTTCCCTTTGGGGAGGGATGGGGTGAGGGTCGTAGCTGAAAGGGACACCAGGGAAGCCCAGAGCGCAGGCATTCTCTTACCCAGGGGCTCAGCACATGGCTGGATTCACTTCGCAGTTGCCTGTGCACCTATATGTGTCTGGATAGTTTCTTTTTTTTTTTTTTTTTCGGTGGAGCCGGGGATTGAACTCAGATCCTTACATTTGCCAGTCAAGCGCTTATCCTACTGAGCCATCTCCCCGGCCCTCTGTATCGTTTCTGTCAGTGCAAATGTGTGTGTTAATTGTTCTGCTGGAGCGCGTGCGGGTGGTGGTGGTGCGCTCCAGGGCTAAAAGCACCTTCTGTGTGACTGCACACTGCCCCCTGATGACCCGGATTGTTATGGGAGTGACCCTCTGAGCCAGGACCCCGGCTGAGCTTTTTTTTTTTGTGTGTGTGTGTGTGGAACCAGGAATTGAACTCAGGCCCTTGCACTTGCCAGGGAAGCACTTACTCTATTGAGCCATCTCCCCAGCTCCATGAGCCTCCCTTCTTACCACAAAACCTACAAAAGGGCCAAAGTAAAGACCCTGCTTTAGTGTGTTCTGTTGCTATAACTACATGCCACAGGTTGGGTGACACAGAAGAACATAGGGCTGTGCACCCGTAGAAACCGTGAAGGCCGCACCTGTGGTGCCGGCCTCTAGTGATTGTGGCTTTGCTGCTCCTGACTGAGCAAGCACTCACAAGGAGACAAAACCTGTGGGCTTGATCTGACTTCCATAAATCCTTTGTTCTGCAGCCAGTCCTAGTTACCTCCTGAGGCAAGCACCCTCCCACTGCCGCCGGCTGTAGCTTGGGGGTTATGTGTGCACTTGTGTGTCCTGAGGGTGCCCTAAACCACACAGGCCCTCTGACCATTTTCACCAGTGGCCCAGAGGTCAGCTGTGCCTCACTACCTCCTTTGCTCGGCAGGTGTAGACCGCCGTGGCATGCTTTGCAGTTTCCGGATCCCTGGGGCCTGGTCCTGTGCGTGGTGCCTCAATGTCCAGGCGAACACCTGCTTCAGTACCGGTGAGCCTAGAGGGCTGGGCTCAGACGCTAACCCCCAGCAGGCCCTCCCCAGACCACCACTTGCACCTGCTCACCAGCCCCTCTCTCCACCAGGCTTGTCTCGTCGGGTCCTGTTGACCAACGTCGTGACGGGGCACCGGCAGTCATACAGGACCAACAGTGATGTCCTGGCCCAGCAGTTTGCAATCATGGTTGGTTGAATCTGGAAGGGCATAACAGAAAGCCTTCAGGGATGAAATTGGGTTCCCTGGTGTAGTGTTTTGACCTCTTCCCTCTTTCAAAGAGGAGAAAAGAGCAACAGGATGCAAATACAAGCTGAGTGGAAGTTGGCTCATCTAGAAAGGCCTGCCCAGCTGGGGTTAACCAACTTCCTAAGTTAATTCTTAGCAATCCTTTAGGTAAGCAGGACAAATCATGTTTCAGTGTACAGGAGGGGCTGGGCGTAGCTCAGCTGCAGTGTGCAGGCTGGCGTCCTGTTCTGGGCCCTGGATTCTGTCCCTGAGCTCCACGTAAAGTATGCGTGTGAAGTAGCCTTGTGCACAGCTTTTAGCTTGTACACTTTTTTTTTTTAAATTATTTATTTATTTTTATTTATTACATTTATTTATTGTGTGTGTGTGAGGCCAGCTCAGCCCACCAGGGGGCGGGGCTGGCTGGCATGTGGTGCTGGGGGATTGAACCGCGGTCCCTGTGCTTTGCCAAGCTTGTTTCAAGTAGGTGCTTTAGACCACTGAGCCATCTCTCCAGCCCCTAGCTTGTACACTTCTTGTGGATAAAAGTGAAGAGTGGGGTCATCACTGTTTCAAGACTTGACCTAGAGAGTGCTGCCGACGTCCCGATGGAAGGAGGCTGCTGGCCCCTGCAGGACAGCCGGGCGTTTAGGCCTCCTTCCACATCATCTTGCCCCAGGATCTTTGCTCTCCTGGTCTGTGCTCACCGAGCTTTCGGTGAGGACAGGGTGCTGTCACTTGGGCCTCAGAGGGAGGGGCCCACGAGCGTAGGGAGTGGCCTCTAGCCCCCATGGCTCCTCTCAGCACCTGGAATCCAGTTCTGCCCCACCACAAGGCCTCCTACCCCCTCAGCTTCTCACCAGGCCCGGCCATGGCACCTTGTGGTCGGCTTGAGGCCAGAGAAAGGCTGTCCTGGGAGATAACAAGTAGCCCCTCTCTCCATAGACTCCTTTGTTGTTCAACGGCTGCCGCTCTGGGGAGATCTTCGCCATTGATCTGCGTTCTCGAAGCCAGGGCAAGGACTGGAAGTCCACCCGCCTGTTCCATGACTCGGCAGTGACCTCTTTGCGGATCCTCCAAGAAGAGCAATCTTTGTTGGCATCAGACATGGCTGGAAAGGTAGAGGATCCTGACTTCCTCCAGCCCCATGCCTTGGGCACCAGGCAAGAGGAAGTCATGGACTCTCCAGGGAAAGGGCTGCCAGTTACACGAGTTGGATGGACTTGGGTATAAGAGTGGAGGGTACACAAGGGCCCCAGAGCCCGCCTGGCCCTGTGCACGCCAGCTGTTCACTGCAGTGCCTGCCAGCCTCCCTCACAGTGCCCTCTGCTGCTTCCCTCAGATCAAGCTGTGGGACCTGAGGACCATGAAGTGCATAAGGGAGTACGAAGGCCACGTGAATGAGCATGCCTGCCTGCCCTTGCACGTGCACGAGGAGGAAGGGCTCTTGGTGGCAGGTACTGGGGGGAAGGTGCCACCCACCGCATCCTGTCCTAGAGAGCCCACGACTAAAGGGGCAGAGTTGTGGGGCTGGTGTCCTCTGGGTAGGGAGGCTGAGGGGAAGCAGAGTGGGATGTTGGTGAGCAGTGTTGTACACAGCCAGCAGCTGGATGGCCCTCTGGGAGGAGAAGAGGTAAGAGGACAGCAAGTGGGGCAGGGTTGGGGCCTGTGCCTCAGGTCATGCCCCATTGTACATGTACTGTCCTGTCCCAACTTGCTTCTTGCTCTCTGTTCATGTGTCCACAGGAAGATGCTGGGAAAATTCCTGGCCCCTTTCATACCCCCTTGGTCGGTAGCATAGGAGCAGCTCCTGCCTACCAATTCCCTTGAACAGAGTTACAGATAGATGACAGGTCAGGCTGCTTCTGGGCCATAGGGTCATGTGAGAGCACCAAGGCCAGTGTTTTTCTGTGTGAAACAGCTGGCCCTTATTCTCGGTGCTAACCAATCCTCATACACACTGAATTCCTATGGAAAGCAATTACTCTCCATGAAACATTTTCCTTTTTTTTTTTTTTCCTGGAACCGGGGATTGAACTCAGGCCCTTGTGCTTGCCTGGGAAGTATTTATTCCACTGAGCTATCACCCCGGCCCCCTCCATGAAACATTTTCATGGCTAACCAGCATGAAAAGTTAGTTAGAACTTTCTTAGGCATACCTACTGTCATCAGCACGAACACTTGGCTTCCTTTAAATCTCAAGAGTGCCTGTGTGCTGAGTAGCAGAAGGGCCAAGTTGTGTTGAGTGGCAGGTGCAGTTGTCCATAGGACATTTGTGAGCATTGGCAGCCAGGAGTGGTGGTGCATGCCTGTAATCCCAGCACTGGGGAGGCTGGGCGGGAGAGAGGCCGAGGGCTCGAGGCCAGTGTGGGCTACAAGTGAGTTCAGGGCCAGACTGAACTACATAGTGAGACCCTGTCTCAAAAGCCTTGGAGTCATGTGTCACAATGTTTAGGGCCCTGAAGTTGGATCCCTGAAGGCTTCAACCTGTCTCAGGAACTTGAACTTTTTAAACCAGAAGGAGGGCCGAGGATTTAGCTCAGTGTCACAGTGGCTGGCATGCATGAGGTCCTGAGTTCGATTCCTGATACAAAGAAAACCAGAGCTCAGGAAGGAGCCATCTGGTTTGCTCCCAGACTATAGTTAAGAAGGTGAGAGGTTCTGGTGACTGCCTCATGCAAAGGAGATAAGCTGCCTGTCATCTGAACAGGCGTGACCCCAAAGGAAGCAGATCCCACTGCAGTGCCCCCGACAGCCAGTCACATCACTTGGGAAACACTGAGGTGACTCGGGATTTGGGTTGTGAAAAGTACACACTGGCAGTGCTTGTGCTTGGCCTACAGTCCCATTGCTCCCTGAGCACATCGCTTCCCTTGCTAACCCTCCATGTGTCTTCCTCCCTCCTAGTGGGCCAGGACTGCTACACAAGAATCTGGAGCCTGCAAGATGCCCACCTGCTCAGAACCATACCGTCCCCGTACCCCACCTCCAAGGCTGACATTCCCAGTGTGGCCTTCTCTTCCCAGCTTGGAGGAGAGCAGGGGATCCCGGGGCTGCTCATGGCCGTCAGGCAGGACCTGTACTGCTTCTCCTACATCTGAGTTTGTAGGGGCCAGCCTGGAGGGGCGGAGCTGCCTGAGAGGAAGGAGGGCTCATTTCCGTTGGCAGTGAGGGGCTTAGGTGACGCCCTGTGCACACAGCTCTCACCCCTGGCTGCTAGGAGGAGGTGCTGCAGAGACACTAGTGAGGTGGTTACGTTAAAGCGTGGGCTCAGAGAGCTTGAAAGTCCTTTTCATAAAAGGTACTTAATTCTTTCTCTTGTTAATTGTCCAGAACAGTTCCCTACCCCTTACCCTTTTTAAAACAAAAAGACTTTTTCTAAGGACTAAAGATGGGCAAAAACTAAGAGCTGTTGCTTACACTGGAAGCTCTGGAGGAGCCCATGAAGTCATTCCGGCAAGAGCTGCATCTCCCTTGACAAAGCTGGGCATAGGGCAGGTGACAGCCTGAGTGACGGCTGAAGGCTGGAGTTGGGAATTGTTAACCTGGCTGTCGCCCGCTCCGACAGCGCCCGCTCCGGCAGCATTCCCCTTTTGTTACAGGCACTGAAAGGAAAGACGGCTGCTTTTAAATGCTGGAAGTTATAAACAGTCTGGAACATGCCTTATTGAGACAGCTTCCAGAACGCGCAGGGACAGCAGCTCTTGTTGCTGTTACACTGATTGGAATGTCAAATTCAGGGACTCGGAATCAAAGAAAATCCACTGGCTTTTTATAAGCGCAGAGCTGCAGTTTGTAAGATGTTTATACCAAGTGTTTTTAAAGCCTGTCTTTCTACCAATAAAGTAGAAAAACATGTCCTAGCATGTTGCTTCTGCTAAACTCCCGATGCTTATAGCACCAAACCATGCAATAGTCTATACTTAGATGTCACATGAAGCCAAAATAGCTGAGACCAGCTTTAATAGCTTGCTGGAGAGCTTCCAGTTGTTTGTCCAGACCAACCCACTCTGTCCTGGCCTGCCCTGCATGTGCCCTGGGAGACTGGTCCCCGACGGCTGCAGGGGCCAGCGCTCCAGGGCGGAAGAGCGAGCCAGAAAGCAGAGGGCAGAGGACCCGAGTGGGTCGTCAGCTCCCTGGCTCCTTTTCTGTTGACCTGTGGTGGCTGTGACCAAAGGTCCCAGCTTCCAGTGGAACGCGGCTCCCCCTGGATTCCACTTGACTGTTCTGTGTCCCTAGCACCGCACTGTTATTCATCCCATGTTATTTCACCAATTAAACTGTTCAGTTCCCTCGAGTGCTCTTACTTCCTTCCAGACAAGAACCAAATGTTAAACACTGAGTCTTAATAGTTGTGCGACAGCTATCTTTAGTGTTCATCTTACTTGATCCTTACAACAACCCATAAAGGAAGCAGCACAGTAGTGCTAATCCCACATTATTAGTGGGTTGCAGTGGCACATACCTGCTGTCCCAGGTACTCCAGAGGCAGAGGCAGGAAGGTTGCTTGAGTCCAGAAGTTCGAGACCAGTCTAGGCAACATGGTGAGACCCAGTCTCGACATACAAAGAAACTTTCAACCTTACTGACATCATCCTAAAAATGGACTAGGGTTCAGCCTAGGGGCTCACTTGAGTGAGAGTATATGCTTAACAAGCACAGAGCCCTGGCTTAAATAGAAGCTGTTACAAAGCCAGGCATGGTGGCTCGTACCTGCAGCCAGGCGGAGGATCATGAGTTGGAGAAGGGCAAGTCAGCCCAGTACCAAAAGTGTGTTCTCTATTGAGGTCATAATCCAAGCAAGTGCACAGTCCCAACACTTACAGTCCTGGTGGCCAGAATTGAGGTCACCTGTTGACCAAGAAATCCACTTAAGCACCTTTAGTTGAAAATATCTTGAGGATCTTGCAGGCAGGGCTGGTCAGGATGGGCCCAGAGCCTCAGATCCATGCTAGAGCTTGGGTTATGCACAATAACTAAAGCAAATTCCCTTAGAGGCAAAATGAGTTATAGACTCGTGGATGTGGCTTGTGCTTTTTTTTTTTTTTTTTGTATTGAGAATTGAAAAGACATGCTTGCCAAGCAGGCGCCGTGCCACTGAGCTACATCCCTGGCTCCTTTTCTAAGTGATGATCATTCTGACAATGCAAATATGGTTGCAGAAGAAAAAATCACTGTCCCTCCCTGAGGATGATGGGAAAGCACTGACAACAGCAGAAACCTTGGCTTTGTTACTTTGCTTTTAGGGATAATATGCTTACTTGATCTGGCTGGAAACATGAAAGGATGCATACTGCTAGCAGTTGCCAGGAGACCTTGCCAAGGAGGCTGTGTGGTGCACCGAGCCCAAATGCCAGCCAACAGCGCCACCCGGCTCAGCTTCTCAACCTCAGCTGGGGTCTGACTTTTAAAGCGGGGCCACCACTGTCCACCTTCCAACCACTAGCCATGTAAAGCTAGTACAGGGCCTGTGATGGAATAGGCAGCTAAATTTGGGTTCTTCCAATTCCCAATTCCCAAATAAGTCAATTTGGTGAATTAAACCCAGGGCATGGCTCACTGGGGCCTAGTGGTTAGGAGGCCATTTCAGTTCTCAACCAATGCTGAGCCCTGTCACTGGCTGTTCAGTGATGACAAGGAGTAGGTGAATTGACTGGTGGTGGTGATTACAGTGCTTACAGGGGAAATTTCCCTGGAGTACAGCCATATTCTTAATGGGTGCATGCAGGCTGGTTTTCTAGTGTAGTTGGAGGAAGCCAAAACAGTTAAGCCTATAGTCACGTGGTCCTCATGTATTGAGTCGAGTCTGGGACTGTATCCCAGAAGACCGAGAGAACTTGTCTAACCCTGGCACCCTTGCTCTCCTCCACTGGCCTGAGCCGTGTGGGAAGTGAGTGCAGAGGATTGTCTTCTGCCAAGTGTGATGATGCACGCCTGGAAGCCTAGCACCCAGGAGGCTGGAGCTGGAGGATCCCCATGCATCCCCAGGCAGCCTGGGCAAAAAAAGCCAAAAGGACTTTTCTGTTTGAGTTCTATGAAGAGCCTTAGGTCGGTTGATGGAGTAAAATGTCACTACCACCCGACCAAGCAGACTAGATGCACGACCACACCACCAGCAGCCATAACAGAGCCCACTGTTCGGACTTGGATCTAAAATTTCCCCAAAACTTTTTTGTTTGTTTGTGCGTACTTAGCACAGGGTCTCACCATGTTGTAACCGTCCTGTTTTCAGCCTCCCAAGCGCTGAGGTTACAGGTGCACCACCACACCGGCTCAGTCTCTGGCTCAGCATGCCCTGGGGGCGGGGCTGGCATGGCATGCCAGGGGTTGAACCCCGGTCCCTGTGTCTAGCTAAGCAGGTGCTTTAAATGGCTGAGCCATCTGGCTGGCCCAGTTTCCCCAAATCTTGTGTTGAGAAGTAGGGCCTGGTCAGAAGAGGCAGGTCACCTGGGCTGTGAGTAGACAGGTGCATTCCTGTCCCTACCTTCCTGGTGGCTGTAGGGTGAGCAGCATTCCCCCACCATGGGCTTCTACCAGGCCGTTTCTACCTAGGAGTCAACTTGGCAAACCCTGAGCCAAAGTAAAGTTGCCCTCCTCTAAATTATGGGTGCCGGGGCTGGAGAGATGGCTCAGTGGTCTAAAGCACCTACTTAGAACAAGCTTGGCAAAGCACAGGGACCGCGGTTCAATCCCCCTGGTGGGCTGAGCTGGCCACACACACAAATAATTAAAAAAAATTATAAAAAATAAATTATGAGTGTTGCATGTTCTGTCTCAAGGATTAGAAAACTGGTACTGGAGAAGTAGGGTTATTACAAACCGATGAATGGGAGTTTAGAAAGATTTGGATACGCGAAGCCCCATAATGCTGTAAACAAAACTTGATGGGTGATTCTAGCTGAAGCTCAGACTAGAATGTTACAAATCTGGACAGTAAAGGCCAGGCTCATGAGGTTTCAACTGGGAGCAGGACTCCACTGGAAACTGAACAAGAGGCAGCGTGTTACCCTCTGTCAAGGAGCCTGTCTGCATTTTGCCCATATACAGAGACCTCAGGACGCTAAGATTTAGGGGTGATGGACTAATTAACCCAGCAGTCAATTTCAAGATGGCGTAACATTCAGGATATGGCATGGGTCATACTGGTGCTTTTTGCCAGACTTGGGCAAGAGGCAAAGCAAAAAAATTTAAAAATTGGAGCCAGGGAGATAGCAGCTTAAGTGCCCTTCTGGAAAGCACAAGGTCCTGCGTTTAACCCCCAGTACTGGGGGAGGGAGGAGAACAAAACCTTGAAACTTTGGCCTGTAAATCCTAGCCCTTGGGAGGCTGAAGCAGGAGGAATATTGGAAATTTGAGGTCACCTTGGACTACATAGCAGGACCCTCTCAAAGTAAAAGTAGGGCTGAGAGAGAGTGTGGCAGTCTAAGCACCTGACTGGCAAGCACAGTGACCCAGGTTTGATCCCCGGTACCTCATGCCATGCCGTCCACCAAAACGGTGTGGTGGGGGCACACGCCTGTAACCCCCGCACTGGGGAGGCTGAGACAGGAGGGTCCCTACCATGTCCAAGCTCCATAGCGACGCCCAGTATCACAAAATGAAACTAGAAAACCTTAGAATTTTTGGTCCAAATGTTGGGGGGCAGTAGGTGTGCCTTCTGATGACATCAACATCATAGAAAGCAGGAGGTACTCTGCACTGGGACAACAGTGAAGAGTCCTTGAGGGAATCGCACTCTGGAAATGGCCAAACTCCTTGGAAAGACTGCTTCTAAGAACCCCGCTCGTCCGGGGCCACCTAGAGGTGTCTCAGGGTTGAACATCCGAGCACGCAGGCCTCTGCAGCTACCATCCAAGCTGCTCAAGCTGGCGGGAGACCTCCCCCCACACGGTGCTGGCTTGACAGGCACGCAGAGTGCCCAAGCTGGGTGGGCATGAAGACTTCCTCCCAGGTTGGAAATGGCCTAGATGGCCAAGCAGCGTCCCTGGAGAAGAGGGGGCAAAGCCAAAGGCACACCGGCGCCTCCAGAGCTAGAAGATACCAGTGTGGAGTGCTGGCTAAAGAAAGCCACAGGCCGTGAGCACAGCCAGCGGAGGCCACTGGGCAGGGACTGCCGGTGCCGGGGCAGGCTGTCAGCCTGAGCAACATGGCAGCTCACTACCAGCTGCCCTGGCTGCTGGACACGAGTTTGCCCTGCTGGGTTTGAGCCTTGCTTTGACCCAATTCCTCTGAATCTCCCTATTCATTTTTGCTTAACCTGTGTCACTTCTTAAATTTTTTTTCTTGTATTTAGGACAGGGTCTACAGGGTCTCACTACACAGATCAGACTCTTAGTGATTCTGTTTTCAGCCTCCCAAGTGGTGGGATTACAGGCACATGCCACCATGCCATCTCAATCACAGTCTCAGCGTGCCCTGCAGGTGGGGCTGGCACAGCAGGCTGGGGATTGATCCCTGGCTGCCACTGCACTCTGCCTAAGCAGGCGCTTTGGTCTGAGCTATCAGGCTGGCCCTTAACCTGTGTCATTCTATGTGGAATATTTAGCCTTATGTTCCAAGGGACTCAACTAGGAGTTTGCCTTAAGTCTCAGGAGAGACTAAACTGGACTTCTCAGCAACACTGGAATGGCTGAGCCTCTGGCATCTCAGAGATGGGAGATGGGCATGAGCCTTCTGCCAGCCAGAGGCAGCCTTAGACCTAAATCTCCCCCAAGTGTTTGGTAGGGCTTGGCCTCAGGCATGCCAAGGGTGTATTCCTGTCCCTGGCTACCATGGCGAGTTCTGCCACATTGGGCCTGCCTTGGGGCTTGTGCACCAAGTGGACTTTCCTGTTGAGCTTCTATCCACCTTCACCTCTTCCCCCAAACTGTCCCCATCCTGCCCCACTCACCCAGGAATTGAGAGGTGGAAAGGAGTGGGAAAGAGGAAGGTAAGGGAGGAGGCAATGGAAAGGGGCACAGAGCAGGGTGTCGGGGCTACAGAATGGAGGGTAGATGACATGAGTCAGACACTGCCAGGAGGACGCAATAAGGGAAGCCTGCACCAGCAGACAGAATTTTCAGTGCCTTCACCAAGCACCCGTAACACCTGCGTGACGACAGTTCCAACTCAGGGCCTGCCACTTAACACACAAGTGTGAGCGACAGCACGGCCTCGTGGGGGCTGCTGCTGTGCTGTTTCTTCGCTTTCTGTTGGTTTCTTTGGTTTGGGGCATTATTCCTTCTTCGGGACAGGGCCTATATAGCCAGCCCTCACGCCTAGCCCCCGAGTGCCGAGATGGCGCCCATGCGCCAGCACACCCGGCGCCGGGACTGTGATTTCACGCACATCCCAGTACTGGGGGGCGGGCTGTGCAAGCTGAAGCAGCGACAGGTGGCTTCCTTCATTCTGAATTTTGCAACGTGCACAGTGTACACAGTCCCTTAGTGGCCATTTCGGTTGAAGACTTAGTCATAAGAACTTGGCCATCAAATGAAGCGTGACAGTACTCATTTTAAACCTAGAAGATGTGGATTAAGAGGAATAGCCCACCTCATCCTGTGGGAAAGGATCCCCCACACCCACATGTGCTGCCAGAGGGAGCCACAGACCCCAAGTGGCTGACACAGGGCCCCTCGCTGACCCCACCCTGCCCTGACAGGGCTGGAGGGAAGCTTTGGGCCAGGCTGACAGCGTGGCGGGACCTGAGGCACCTTCTACTCACTACAAGGTTCTGTGATCCTGAGGTACTACCTACAAAGAAGACTCAGGACAAGCGCGAAGCCCTGGCCCAGGCTGCTGAAAACCTGACATGGGTGTATGCGCTTCCTACCTAAGTGCTTGTGGGTCTGTTAGGAGGTGGAACCCAAACTCCACACGATAACAAGGTTTCCATTTTTCTAGGAAAAAAGGTCTTATCTGCAGCATCATCAGCTTTAGTATTTATAAGGGAAAGCTGGGCTGGTGAGATGGCTCAGTGGTCTAAAGCACCTACTTAGAACAAGCTTAGCAAAGCACAGGGACCACGGTTCAATCCCCCAGCACCGCATGCCAGCCAGCCCCGCCCCCTGGTGGGCTGAGATGGCCACACACACACACACACACACACACACATACGTAAATAAAATTAAAAACACTAATTTCTTAAAAAAAAAAGGGAAAGCTACTAGTCTAGACTGGCATCTGGACTGTGCCTCCACTCTGCGGGCCCAGCTACGCTCCCATCACCGGGAAGGGCGAGCGCGAGGTTATGGCGAGTCAGGAAAGAGCACAGTGCACGGTCGGTCAGCAGGGAGGTTCCTTTATGGTGGTGAACTGGTGACACACAGCTCTAGAGCAGGCTCAGGGCTGGGTGCGGGGGCAGGAAGGCAGTCCTGGCGCAGACACGGTGGCAGCCAGCGCACCTCCGCAGCGCTCCCCGCAGCAGCTCCGTCAAGAACTTCACCATTTTGCTTTTGGCCACTGAAGACAAACGCCCTGATGACAGGATTTCAGCACAAGTCTCTCTCCAGTCAGGACAAATGAGAATACCCAAGCTTTGAGGAGAAATACTCATCTGACTTCTCTTGCAAAGACCAAAGAGAATTTCTTTATAATCTGTTGAGATCTTTACATACACTTAAAAAAAAGCAACTAACAGTCCACTCGGTGTTCATGGTCAGCAGTCCAACAGCTGCAGAGGTCATGTGTCTTAGAACAAAGAATTAAGATGCTTTAAGCAAAACAAATCTAGTGTGATGCCCAGGAGGATATGGCGGGCCAGGGGCAGGGGAGAGGGTGCGGGTGCCTTAATTTAGAAGCGGGGTGCAGCCCTCTAGGAAGGCCCAGGGGGACAGAAACATGAGCAAGCAGGTAGCGCCCGTGGGAAGGCCCGCTCCTTCAGCGTCGCCAGCACGGCCACTGACTGCAGCCTCCCTTCTGGGGGCCGAGGCCCAGCCTCCAACCCTCACGGAGTGCCCGCACCCTGAGCTGTGGCCTGCCTGGAACCCAGCGCCCAAGGCCCAGGCGAACGCCCTGTGAGGGCACCCGCTGAGGGGGTGAGGGCAAAGGGGTGGCAAGAGATGCCCTGCAGCCAGGCGTCTGGCTCCCTGCGTGCTGAGGTCCTGCCACCACAGCCACCTGGTCTCTGCTGGGGACCACAGGGGCAGTCAGGGCACATTCAAGCCCCTCGCAAATACTATCGGAGATAGATGCTTTTTATTGAGAGAGAGAGAGAGAGAGAGAGAGAGAGAGAGAGTGAGTGAGTAGTACTGGGAATCAAACTCAAGACCTTGCGCTTGCCAGGCAGGCGCTTATGCTGCTGAGCTATCTCCCCGGCCCACTTTATATTTTTAACTGAAGTAAAGGCAATGCACTCAGGCTCACCCTGCTCAGGCTGCCCTGCCTGAGGCTGACGCTTTCCAGCCTGCCACCAGGCCTGCCCCAGCTAAGGACAGTGGCCCTAGGAGAGGACACCCAGGGTGGCTGGGAGGAGAGCGATCACACTGAGACTTCAGTTTCTACCCCTGAGAACCTAAGGATCGTGAAGGATGTGGGGGAGCTGGGCTTAGAGGTCACCGGGTTTTTTATTGCAGTTGAAGCAGACGCGGACAGGGTGGTCCCAGCCTCGAGAGGGAACAGCCCGGCGGTCGTGGGAGCACTCGTCACAGAAGCCCTGGCCACAGGCGCGGCAGTGGTGCTTGGAGAGCTTCACGCTGAACTCCTTGCGGCAGTTGTGGCAGTGCAGGATCTCGTGGTCAGGCACCCAGTAGGCCGGCCTGGCTGCGTCCTTCACCAGGCCTGCGCGGGAGGGAAGGCGCTCAGCACACAGAGACGCACCCGGGGGGAGACCCACCAGGGGCCGAGCCCTGCTGGCAGCACAGAGACCCGCCCGGGGCCGAGCCCTGCTGGCTGGCGTGCGCTCAGGGCGCGCTACCTGGCTCCTGCTCACTGAGCACTAGTGACAAGAGACAGCCACCTGGGCAGGGTGGCCCGGCCTCGCACACAGCCGAGGACAGATGCAACCTCTGCTTTCCACCTAGACACATCCATCTATTCCTAGTCCAGAGTGAGAAGCACATTAACATCTGCTAATCTCCTAAGCTGTATCTAAGTGTGATCCACAGCAGGTCTATCACCCCACAAAGGTCCTTGAATGCGGCCCGGTCACCCTGCCACAGTCCTCCCCCTGCGGTCAGTTTCCTTCCCTGTCCTTCCCACAAGTGTGGATACAAACAACCCTCACACCAGAAGCTGGGCAGCAGTCTTAGATGTTAAACACCTCAGCTGCCGTGCAGGTTAGAGATGGGACAGCTTGCTAACGAGCCTTCCACCTTCTGCCCCCTTCCTCAGATCCAGACAGGCCCTGGGACGCCAGGACTCCAGGGCACGGTCCGCTTGGCAGGCCCTGGCCCTACAAGACTAGCAGCTTCTACCTCCTGTTTCCTAAAACACTAGCGCTTAGAGCCCTGAGCCACACTACCACTGAAGGCGCCATGTGAACAGGCCTAGCAGTGCATGACCTGGGAGGAGGCTGGGGCTTGTTAAGGCCAGCTCCACCTGTCCCAGGAGGCTCCAGCATGCAAGGGCAGGCGGGAGTGCAGAGCAGCCCAGCAGCCGTGCCCTAAGTGTGAGGAATAGCTCCAGGCGGTGGCCCTGGCGCGGGGCGGCCACGGCCCTGCCGCCTTCACTCACAAGTCTCTGAGGTGGCTGTGGAGGGCCTGAGCATTTTCAGGGCACAGCACTTGGTTTCGCAAGAGAAAACCTCCCGGGTAAGCATGAAGCCGGAAGGCGTTCACCAGAACCAAGCAAATGGCAGAGTCTAACTGACTCTTAGACACTCAGCTCTACCTAGGCTGGCAGACAGTCCGCGGCACCCCGAAGCCTTTCAGCCTAAGGTGCATGCCCGAGACACAGCGCCACACCCACCTAGGGGTATGTCGATGGCGGTCACCACGGCTCCCAAGGTGTTCTGCACAGCCTCGCCCACCTTCCGAGCAATGAGTGTTCCACCTTCATCATCGGCCTGTGCCTCAGTAATATCTGTGGATGATGACAAGAAGAGACAGTTCATTTCCCAAAGAAAAAGCCTGGCCACTGCAGTGGCCAGTGGCCTCCCCCCCCCCCCCCCCCACCCTGTGGTGTCCTACAGCGACTGTGAGCATCCGGGCCACGGCTTAGACCACCACGCATGCGTCTGCTCTCTTTACCCCCAGTTTTTTTTTTCGGTGGGACTGGGGATTGAACTCAGGCCCTTGTGCTTGCCAGGAAAGCGCTTATTCTACTGAGCCATCTCCCAGCCCCCCCATTTTTCTTTAAAAGGGGCCAACCTATTTTCAAAGTTCAAGGGCCAACAAGGTGGCTCACAAAGTGCCTGTTTAGGCAATCTCAGGCAAAGAGCAGGGACCGAGGTTCAATCCCTGGTACCACATGCTTTGCCAGCCCCACCCCCAGGGTGGGCTGAGCCAGCCATAAAAATGAACAAAAACAATGTAGCTTCAAGAAGTCTGGGAGCAGGATCTAGAACCTTCCCCAGATAGGGGTCAGCCTAAGCTATCTGCTAACACTGAGGCTTCCCAGAACTCGACCTCTGCACCTGCGCTCCCCTGAGGAGCTGAACAGTGTGGTTCAGACAGGCGCAAGGCTCTGCTCACAAGGAACTCAGAGACAAAGGGCTGGAGCTGGGGCCGGGTCCCAAAGCCCAGTGAGTACACAGGCAGGTGGGTCTCCTCCCCCAAAGCTCTCAGGGCCCCACGTTACCTAACTGGGCATTCCTGGTGTCATAGCAGTTGTCACACACACGCACAGGCGCAGGTCCCCAGCCTCGCTCAGGCACCGGCCGAGTCTTGGATGAACAGCTGTCACAGAAGCCCTCCCCACAGGCCCGGCAGTGATGCTTAGTGTCATTGTCTTTAAAGGATGTCGCACACTTGTTGCAGTTCTGTGCCAAGCCCAAAACAAAGCAGAGGCAGGAATCGTAGGTGTCCACACAGCTCAGAGAGCCAGTAAGACCGCAGGGGCAGCTGGGAACTCAGAAAGGTGGGCTCGGCTCAGTCAGGACCCAGTCTCCCTAGCAGTGATGGTTCTAGGCAGGCGCCCGGGGAGGAGGCCTGAGTCCGTCACGCGTGTGTGTGCCGAGCCAGCGCGCCGGCCTGCACCCTAGGGATGCGCATGGGTGGAGGATGAGGATGACCTCTGAACGCTCGCCCCTCGCTCCACACTGTCAGTGACCTCCGAACTCAAGCGGGGTTCATTCATGGCCCTCACAGGTAAGGAATGAGACCCCACACCAAGGACAATGCTCGTAGCATAACATAGAAGGAAGTCACTGAACAAGGAGGAACGTGACCCCTCCAAGAGCCTCCCCTGACCCTCCCGCTGCAGCCCACAGCGGCCCAAGCCCCACTGTACCAGGATCTGGGAGTTGGGCCGCCAGTAGGCTGGAGCAATCTGGTCTGTCAGCCAGGAGGTCACAGCCTTGGTGGGCCCCAGGCTAAGCTCTGACACCGACTGGGCCATCAAGTTCACGCCATCCAGTAGGCGCTGGGCAGCGTTGTTGTTGTCCTTCAGAAACCCATCGGCCTGAAACAAAAACGCAGACTTCCATCAGGTGCCATGTGAGGGGAGGAAGGACAGCAGCAGCTAGCGGCCAGCTGGAACCGGAAGGCCCCGATGGCAGAGCCTCTAGGTAACACAGCACCCACTGTCAACACTGACTTGCGCCCACCAACTCCCAGCTGCTCGGCACAGGACTTCCTTCCCCAGTACAAGAGCTGACGCCCTGCGGGAAGCCCCGTGTGGGCTGCTGGGGGCCTTCCTGACCATTCCTCTCTGGCCTCCGCATCCCTGGAGCCCTCCTCCTGCGGTGTATAAGAACAGTGCCTCGTCCCTGAGTCCCTGCCAGCCCTGAACCCCGAGGGGCTACTTTCCAGAGCATCTGACCCCAGGCTGGGCGCGGGTACTTGGCAGAAGGAACTGATGAATGCCCGGAGGGAAAGCAGCCCAGAAGCGCGCTGCTGCGGTTTTCCTGGATAAACACTGCATTTCCTCACTTACAGTGCTCTTAGAAAACCACCGGTCTTGCTTCCGCGAGTGGAGAAGTGATTCTGTTGTGAACGACTGAGTCCTCTGCCCGTCCCTGTCCCTGTCCCTGTCCCTGTCGCTCTGGGCGCTTCCTGTGTTGCTCACGCTGGCCCCAAACTCCAGGCTCAGTGATTCTCCTGCCTCAGCCTCACAAACAGCTGGGCAACAGGTGCAAGCCACCTAGCTGGCTGCAAACAGCAGGACAATGCAGGAAGTACCAAACAAACCACTGTCTCTGAAACAGATCTGTATAATATCTTAAATTCTAAAATCACATTTAAAAAGCAAAGGCCTATCATACTATCACTTCCTAGAACACAGTCTAAGACAATTTCCCAGGACAAAGAAATGGCCTTCTTACAAGATGGCCAATAAAGCATTTTTGTTGATAATTAAAAAGATAAAAAGCATAAAGACCCAAAACTGGGCTGGCGAGATAGCTCAGCAGACTCAAGTGCCGGCTTAGGCAAGCACAGGGCCCTCGGTTCAACCCCCAGCACAAGCTGTGCCAGCCCCGGCCCAGAGTCCAGGCGTGGTGGTGCAGGCCTATAACCCCAACCCTGGGGAGACTGAACACAGGAGGGTCACTGCGAGCTGCAGCTGCGTAATGAGAACCCGTAACAAACAAATACATAAAAAATAAAAACCCAAAACTAAGGGAATGCAAAGCAAACTATACAACCCAACAATGTGTTATACAAAAAAAGGCAGAAAAACAGCATGTAAACTCTGACTGGGTGCACTGTGGTGGCGGTCGCTTGTGGTCCCAGCCACTCGAGAGGTAACAGCAGGGGGCTGCCTGAACGCAGTTCTCAGCCAGCCTAGGCAGAAGAGCAGGGCCTTACCTCGGCCCGAGTGCCGCCACAGCCTGCCCTGCTTAGCCGCCAAGGTCTGAGCAGGCTCCTTCAGGGTGGCAGACGGGTCCATAAAATAAGCAAAGGGGTTCTAATCACATCTACGAAACACGCATGTGGAAAACACCACAAAACATGGGGCTTATTTGCCAAAGGACAATGAAGATTTTTAGTTTATTTCACTTAAAGTTGTGATCCTGCTCTTCAGGCAAGAAACAAAGCCACTGGGCTGCAACAGGGACGCTGCACAGAGATGCCTTTCTAAACCACCAAGCACGGAAGCTCCTGGCTGCCCTTCCTGCCAGTGAAGCTCCAGTCCTCCCTCCACGACAACTGATACTCAGAAAGGGCCAGGCGGCAGCTCACCGGCAGAGCTTGTCACGCACCTGCAAGGTGCAGGCATCCACCCCCGCCCTGCAGAAACAGAGGGTGTGAGAAAGGCGGACACCAAACATGGTCCTTACCCCAGGCCACACGTGCACGATCTCAGTGCGCACCACCGTGTCCACAGGGTCCTGGTTCCCAAACCAGTACTGCCGGCTCCGGTAGACCACACCGCAGTTGGGACACTCGATCACGTACCTGTGCGGGAGGCGAGTGCACAGCGTTGCCACAGCAGTGCTGGGGACCGCGCCAGCACCCGCAGCTTGGACAGCCACACTCACCCAGACCAGGCGTACTTCGCAAGCCCCATCCAGGGTGAGTCGGTGGAAGCAGAGGTCTTGGGCACAACGCTTACTTCCTTGCCTCTCTCATAGCAGGCCTGAAACACAGAGAGCCTCACCAGCTCATTTCACGTCACCAGGCCCCAGGCGTGGCTCCTCATGGCCTCCTTCCCACAGACCATCTGGCTGGGGTTAGCTTCAGAGTGGCTACCTTGGAAAGCTCATTTCTCTGAAGCCAGCACCCCCAGGACAATAAGCTGTGTACCCAGCCCAGGCCCTGAACCTGACCTCTAACCTACATATATCACAGACAGAAGGAATCCATCCACCTGACCTCCCGAGAGGCTCTCCTGCTCTGAAGGAAAGTGACAGTTAGTGTACGCTGCCCGAAAATGCTTCAAAAAATAAACAGAGGCTCCAGCGATGAAATGGTGGGATTTCTTTGGTTAGAACCAGAGAGAAGTTCCAAAGATGACCTCAGGTTGAATATCAAAGGGCGACCGCAAGACAGCTTTCCCAAAGGCAAGTGTGTCCCACAGGCCAGCGCAGCAGCAGGAAGGCTGGAAGACTCACCTTGCAGGTGTACACGCGGTTGTCGTACTGGTGGGTGTACCTGCAGCGGCTCTTGGCCTCATGAGGCACACCTTCCTTCGCGTGGTTCATGCTGTTCTTACATCCAGCCCTGAGGAGACACAGAAATGGGAGCGTGGCGGCTCAGCGCTGCGCTGTGCACATGCACAGGAAAGCCTGCCACGGCCCTAGGCCAGGGCTGCAACGAGACCTGGTTACTCACTGGGCCTTGAGTGTGGACTGGAACAGGTAGCTCACCTCAGAAGTCCACCTGCCCCACCCCTTGGGAGCCACAGCAAAACAGAAAACAACAATGCCCTCGTAAATGGGAAAAGGGAAAGGGGAAAAAGGAATTTCTTTGTAGAAAATCTACCTGGCCTGTAGCAGAATGAAAAAGCCAGAGATACGAACTTGACCCAAGACAAAAATGAAAACCTCTCAAGAAATTAAAAGCCCCAAAGGGATGAAATAGAAAGTTAAACCAAAACTGGGTGCCAAAATAGAACAATTGGAGGCGGCATGGTGGCGTAATCCCAGCTCCTCCAGAGGCTGTGAACAGGCAGATAACTACGAGTCCGATCTAGTAGTGAAACCCTGAACACCCGTAGACCCTTCCCTAAAATAAAATAAAATAAAATAAAACAAAATAGAATAGTTGGCAAAATGTTGGCAATGCATTGAGGAGAGGCTTACACTCATAAGAAAAACTTCCAAACGAACTGCGAGCTCTGCTATCCGGGCAGGGCACAAACAGACCTGGACTTAAGAATGTCACAGTGTTAATGAAGGGAAAATTCTGGAAAACCTGACAAGGCTGTCAGAATGGAAAAACTGATCCAACAGTGTTTAGGATCCGCACACTACTCACAGAGAACCAAAGTAACATCCCAGTGGCAAGAAACAGCCCCTCCCCCCCAAGCTGGACTCTTTAAGATAATCCTCAGCGCTCTGTAACCCACACAGTATATTGAGAGCCAAGACTTTTCAACCATGTCAGACACGGCACAGTACCAGCAGGAGGCCAAAATGCCACTCCTGAGAGGGGGCTCAGGCCAGAGCTGTTCTGGCGGACAGGCCACGGTGGGCAACGTGGCAGTGTCGAGCAGAGACAGATCCACGGCGAGAGGTCAGGGTGTCCGCAGGGCACGGCCCATCACACAGCTCTCACCAGGCTGTGGCTCCACAGCATCAACACGTGCCACTGAGGCCGGCACACTCAGGTGGTCCCTTGAGAAGCAGCACACATTCTCAGGACCCCCGAGTCCAAGACTCTCCGCCAGAGGCCAACACTATTTGAAAACTTCCTTAAGGCTTCTCTGACGCTGGCTGCAACCCAAGAACTGCTGCTGATCCAGCCCCGAGGTGCTGGTACGGGCGAGGCTGGCCACACTTACCCACAGCTGAGGCACACGGAGGAGCAGGTGAAGTACTCGTCTGGGAAAAAGGAGCTGTGTGCCATCTGGTCATCGGGGATCTCGCCGCTGAAGCGGTCGCTGAGCGCCTGCCAGGGAGGAAGGGCGCAGGCAGGCCTGAGCGGAGGGCATGCGCTTCAGCCCTGCGTCCCTCACCTTCTAGGATGGTCTCGACATTAACACTGCTTGCAAGCCCAGAGCAGATGCCACCCAGTAACTGGTACTCAGCAGCCTTGGCCTTCACTGCCCCTGACCACAGGAAACCCGGGAAGGAGCCGGCGCACTGTGCTAGAGCCACAGGTAAGAGGTTACGTCCTCTCCGCTCAGCCGCCCACGCTGTGATGCCTCATACATCCAGGGCTGTACCCGGGGTCATCACAAATACTGGCAAAGGGCCACTTCACCAGCGGGAGGCTAGGGCCAAAATACTGGGTCTGAAGAGGGGCACAGAGGGCTGAGAAGTGAGCGGGGTGGTGGCACACGCCTGCCATCCCAGCACCAAGGAAGTGCAGAAGAGGATCTCAAGTTCGAGAAAGGCCTGAACCACATAACTAGTTCAAAACCAGTCTGGACTTAAAAAAAGCTAACTAACAAATAGTAATGCAAGTAAGTACTGCCCTAACAGGCCAATTCTATAGAAAGTAACAGCAGAGATAAGAATAGTGAGAGACCGATGAACATATATAAGAATAATAATGAGAATAAGAAACAGGGCAGGGCTGGGCTATAGCTCAGTGGCATGGCACCTGCCTGGCAAGTGCAAGGTCCTGAGTTCAATTCTCAGTACCGGGCGGGGGAAGCTCCAGTTGGCCTACACAAGCTCTCTTCCTTCCTAGTTGTACATATGGCCATCCTCCAGCGAGGTCTGGGTCTCACCTCTTCCCGAGTCCTTCCCAACCACTCAAGTCTCTCTTCTGTCTCTCTGAGCCCCTATTTTACTCAATACTGAAGTCAAGTAGTGAGAAAGTGGGCAGTGCTGGAAAGCTGGGGGTCCCCTACATGGATTTCACCTGCCACCCTAGACCACACGTACCGGGAAGAAGTTCTTTACCTTGGCATCACCCCCAAGCCCCAGGCTTCGCAAGTTACCAACTCTAAGTGCAGCAGATCTTCCCAGGCACTCAAGCAGGACCGCTGGAAGGCGTGCCCAGCCCTGACTTCCCACCTAAATACCCACACTGGCTGCCCCGCCTCTGGCTTTGGCCCAAACGTCACCCCAGGCCTACAGCCTGCTCCAATTTAAGGCCACCTGCTCCCTGACAGGTCAAATTAGAGATGACTCTTAGGGCTGTTTCTCAAAGAGCATGTAACTCTGGAGAAACTGGATGGGAAAACAGACCATTATCTTGCTAACACTGAAAGAGCTGGAAAAATTACTTTCACATTTAAAAAATGCCAAGTTAAGTATCATAGGAAAGTAAACAAGCCAGCATGTGGACCAGGCCTGTAATCCCATTACTCAAGAGGCTGAGGCAGGAGGATGGTTGAGAGCTCGAGGGCAGCCTGAACTGAACTGCATAGTGAGACCTTGACTCAAAATGACAAGGAAAAAAAAAAAAAAAAGTAAACAGAAAACCCCAGAACTAAAACCTGCAGTTCCTCAAGCCCTGTCAGCTGTGTACTGCCTGCGCATCTGCAGGCTGGGCCTGTGCTCTGCAGAGACAGCACTGAGGGCCAAGCGAGGCTACCCGCGAAAGCACTTGGAACTGTGAGCGCAGGAAACGCCAGCCACTCCCGGTCCTGAGCCTCCCATACCTACTCCACGCAATCCACAGGCCACGAGAACCTCCTGAGGTACACCCCTCCACGGCTGAGAGTGTTCCAAGTGTCTAGAAGGAGTTGACAGAGAAACGTAAAGGAGCCAGGCATGGTGGCATCTAGCCACCTAAAAGGCCAAGCAGGAAGACTGTAGGCTTGAGGCAAGCCTGGATAGCTCAGCAGGACTCTGTCTCAAAAAAAGTAAAGAGGACTGAGAATATAGCTTGGTGGTAGAAACACTTTGGGTTCAATCCCTGGTACTGCAGGAAAAAGGGAAGCTGTTTAAGGTGCCTGGAGGTTAGAGTGGGTGTGCGACACCGAACAGCAGCATGCTTTAGCCTCAGGGATTTTTTAAATTTTTTTTTTTTTTTTTTTTTTGCGCAACCAGGGATTGAACTCAGGCCCGCACACTTGCCAGGCAAGCACTTATTCTACTGAGGCATCTCCCCGGCCCCCCATTTTTTAAATTTTAAATAAGTAATTAAAAGGTAGCCCAGTGGAGCATGATGGTGCATGCCTGTAACCCCAGCACTCAGGAGGCTGAGGCAGGATCACTGGGAGGCAGGAGAACCAATGGGAGTGCGAGGCCAGCCTGGGCTACACAGTGAGTCCAAGGCCAATCTTGGACTGAATAAAGAGGTCCTGTCTGGGAAGGGAAGGGAAGGGAAGGGAAGGGAAGGGAAGGGAAGGGAA